TTCGTTCACCAAAAGGCCTTATGAAAGTCATTATGTTGCTATGGGGGGTCTTGCACACACCAAAAAATATGCGACATTGAGCCCTTTTTCGTAGACATAAACGAGTACACGCACGACACAGTGACTTGAATGAACAAAAACCCAATAGTTCTTTGATTTGCAATTGAGTTCTTCATAGACGCGCAAATAATCATTCGCGGTTCTTGGATGTAGAAAAAGCCCCATGAACAGCACCAGGAGACGCAAGAAGGATTTAGGGATCAGGGTCAAAGGACGTTCGGACCGTTCGAGCGGATTGGGATGACATAAGTGATGTTTCAGGTGCGACTGTTTCGGTGTTCAGGTGCCATTGTGCCGAAACTGCTGACCCTTAGTGCGCCCGCAGCCCCGAAGCCCTAAACCCTAAACACTAAACCCTACGCCCCTCAACCCGAGACCCTAAACACTGCCTTGCGGGAGGAAGATGGGCCCGAGATACATCGATGAGGACCACCGCCGCAAGCTGGCTGGGAGCCTTGGGGGAAGCCCTGGGGGAAGCCACAGATTTTCTGGATTTTCCGGCACTTCCTGGGAGGTTATTAGTTCTTGGGTTTGGAGGGGGGGGGGGGAGGGCCGTTTAAAGATCCTCTAAGGGAATATCATGGCCAAGTTAGGCGTATATTCAGGGAGAGGGGTACATCCTTAGGGAGTCCAAGTTTGGTTCCCGCCTAGGCTAGACCCTAAGCCCCCGACACCTGAAGCAGGGTTCCATCCATTCCCGCACTCCTCGGACAAGCCGTAACGTGTCCAGCTTGGACCCGTTCTTGTCTGGAAAGCACCTTGCAAACCGGATGTGCCGGAGCCGTGCGTGCGGACATCTTTGAGGGCTACTGTGCAATGGGCTGTTTGCAAGGTACTGCAGGTCCTCAGGAAGTACCCGCTGTGCGACATCTACGACTTGGCAGGGGGCCCGGGTGAAGGGGATGAGATTTAGGGGTTTTAGGGTCCCCGGCTTAGGGTTTAAGGGTTTAGGGTTTAGGGTTTAGGGTTTAGGGTTTAGGGTTTAGGGTTTAGGGTTTAGGGTTTAGGGTTTGGGGTTCCGGCTTTATAACGGGGTTTGCCGTTGTTCCGCAGGTGCGCGTGGACGAGCAGCAGTGGGCGAACATGAGCCCGCTCCTCTGTTTCGGGTTTGGGTCACCCTAAACCCTAAACCCTAAACCCTAAACCCTAAACCCTAAACCCTAAACCCTAAACCCTAAACCCTAAACCCTAAACCCTAAACCCTAAACCCTAAACCCTAAACTAAACTTGTGGAAGTACAGCCCTGCTTCGCAAAAGTTGGGTGGCAAGAACCCTGAATCTCCAAGGCAAGAACCCTGAATCTCCAAGCTTGGCCCATGAGGTACCGTCTTAGCATAGTATAGGGGCCTTAATCATTGGAATAGGGCTGGGTTCTATAGTATAATTATAAACGGGACCCTTAGGGAATAACATTAGTAATCATTCCGACCCCTGTTTTCGTTTTTGGTGAGTGTGTATTGGGTTCCTTATGAGTGCAATTCCTGGTTGTGCTATCCCGTGTAGGCGTTTTGAATGATGAACCCTATAAGCCTAGAAACCCAAGAAACCCCCAAAAAGCCTGTCTAACCCTACAAACCCCAAAAACCCTAAGAACCCAAATAGCCCTTAAAAACCCTAAAAGACACTAAAAACACCCTTAAAAAACCCTAAAAAACCCTCAAAAACCCTATAAACCCTCTAAACCCTATAAACCCTAAATCAAGGACACTTTTTTGAGAATTTGGCTCGATCCGAGGGTTCGAAGAACCTAAAAACTCCTAACGTCCCTAAACTCCAAAACCGAAGCCCTCCTAGCCCTAAACCCCAAACCCCAAGCCCCAAGCCCTAAACCTTAAACCCAGAAACTGCACTGGTTTTGCAGGCCGGGAGCTCGGCGGCCTTAGCTACGGGGTGGCCGGAGACTTAATGGCGCACGGGGAACATGCAGTTGAGCCCTAACCCTAAACCCTGAACCCCAAACCCTATAAACCCTAAGCCCTAAACCCTGAACCCTATAAACCCTATAAACCCTAAACCCGAAGGTGCTATGAGGGTTACAGAAATACATTTTGTAGTTTATTGCCATGAGAGCTTACAGCTTGCAGCTTGCTGTCCCAAAGCCAAAGTCGTTCGGACAGCTTTGCTTGATCTCGCAAGCAGGTCGGGTCGGGGAGGGTTATCGGTGTATGGGTAGTTCAGGGCTTCAACAAGCTTTAGGATGCGCAGTCTGCGCGGATTGAGGGGTGGAGGATTGAGTGTTTAGGGGCATACGATTTAGGTCTTGACAGGTCGCAAAGGTTTTTTTGCGCGGTCGGGTCCACGTAGGGGCTTGAACCCAGAAATTATGGAGGACTCAGAAATTCCTTGAGCCCCTTGAGCCCCCCAAGAACTGCTTGGAGCAGAAGAGCCCCGCCTTCATGAAGAGGCCATGAAGGCCGCCATGGAGGTCGTGGCGGAGGCTCCTCTTGGCGTGGGGGGGGGGGGGGGGGCCTTTGAGCCAAAGTTTCCAGCAAGAGCGGTGAAGGCAGGACGCTTGGAAGAGGGCGTCTCATGAGGCCCTTGAGCCTTTGTCAGGGAATGTTCGGCAGTTCGTTATGAGTGTCGTTTAGACGACACCCATGCTATCCGACTCCAGACCGGCAACCCACCACCCAAGAATTCCCGAAGCCCCAACACCCCAAACCCAAGGGCGGTCTCAGCAACTTGGTAGGTATTGGCAGCTGCATCGCAATCCTTGTTGGGGCTGAAGCTTTGCATGTTGAGCTTTCGTTGGGTCTGGGGGAGCCCCCATGTTTGGTCAAGAGCTTAGGGTTTAGGGTAAAGGCTTCGGACCCTCCGAAAGCCCGGTTTATGTCTAGTAGTTGTGCTCCAAGAACCCTCCGCTACTCTCTTTCCCAACGTCCGTCCTCGTGCACAGTCCATGACGCCCTTGGAGCGAGCGACCTTTTGGGTGCAGGGCCCAGGGGAAATGTTGGGCTTTGGGGCAGAGTTTGGGATCGAAGCGTGGGCCCCCCCCACCACGTGTTTCTCTTTGGCACTTCGGAGGGCAGAGCTCTTGATGGTGAGGCCACCAAAAACCCTCAACCCCCAGCCCGAAGCCCATTTCTTTTCATTTTTTGATCCCGGACCCCTAAACCCTAAACCCTAAACCCTAACCCTAAACCCTAAACCCTAAACCCTAAACCCTAAACCCTAAACCCTAAACCCTAAACCCTAAACCCTAAACCCTAAACCCTAAACCCTAAACCCTAATCCCTAATCCCTAATCCCTGAACCCTAAAAAATTAGGGTCGCCTTGAAAGGGAGCCATCGGGACCCGCATGCGGAACACCGACCATGGGCGCGTGGTGGCCTTCGCCGCTCAAGACAGGTCGGGGAGTTCTTAAGGGTTTGGGGTTTCTCGGGTTTAGGGTTTCTGGGGTTTAGGGTTTAGGGCTTAGGGTTTAGGGTTTAGGGTTTAGGGTGTTCGGGATGGATCTTCAGGAGCTTTGTCAGGCAGTCAGGGGTTGTAGGGTTGCAGGGTTTTCAGGGTTGGTGCAGAGTCTAGGGTTTGGGTTCCTCAGGAAGCTCGATCAGTATTTCGTGATTGGTTGAGCCCTAAACCCGAAACCCTAAGCCCGAAGCCGAGGGCTCCGGCGGAGTCGACGTCCGAAGTTCTTAGTAATGAGGGTTTAGGGTTCAGGGTTTAGGGAGTAGAGGCCCCTGAACCCTCCGGAACCCCCCTAAACCCTAAACCCCAAACCCTGAACCCTGAAACCTAAACCCTAAACCCTAAACCCTAAACCCTAAACCATGGACCCCTTAAAGCCTATAAGGCCCCTCCCAATCCCCAGCCCAAGCCAATGCCAGTCCTAGCGGCTTCTGAGCAGTTGGAAGAGGCCTGGTGGGAAGTTTGGGAGAGTTTTCTTGGGGGCATTTCAGTGCGGGTTTGGCAAGTGCTTAGCATCCTGAGGGTCTCCCAGAGCGCTTGGAAGGTTGAACCCCTCCCCTCCCCCCCCCGGCTAAGAGCTCCCAAACTGCCCGGAACCCCTAAATCCCAAGCCTCTGAACCCTGAACCCTGCATGTTCTCAGAGCTAAACTCTGGACATCCTGACATCTCGTTACCCCTTTCCCAACACCCTAAACCCTATGAACCCTCAAACCTTGCACCCTAGATGCTACACCCTACACCCTAAACCCTAAACCCTACACCCTACACCTTAAACCCTAAACCCTGAACCCTGAACCCTGAATCCTAAACCCTAAACCCTAAACCCTAAACCCTGGAGGAGCCGGCCTCATGAGGCCCCAAAGGGGCCTGGAGGTGTGAGTCGGCGGAGGTTCATGTCTCACCCGTGCTCCGAGCCCAAGGTTTCGGGGCCGAGGGTTTAGGCTTTAAAGGCTTCAGGGTTCAGCGTACTGTAGGCCTGAATAATTAGAATAGGGTTTTGTTATGAAGGGACCATATCCTGCAGCTCCACTGTCCCCTCCTTAATGGAGCTTCCAATTGTGTGTGAACCAGTCCCACGAAAATCTTAGACTCCCAAGCACCGTCGTTTCTGGCTGGAAGCACAGTGTCATGCTTCGGGGGCAGCTTGAAACAGGAGGCCCCCCCCAAAGCCCTTAAACACCCGAACACCTATTTAGGCCTAAGCCGCCCATTGGGGTCCAAGAGCCGTGACGTCGGCAACCCCAGAAATCCCCTCGACTCTGTGCACCGAGACCGCGGCACAGCGTGGAGAAAAGTGGAGTCGGAGCACGGCGTTGGCAGCTTGTGGGGTGAAGAGCCCAAACGAGATTTTCGGAGTTGAAGGGTGCTCAGGAGTGACCATGCCCATGAGAGACCTGACACAAGCCAGCTTTGCAACATGAAGGGCCAATCTCGGTACGTAGCACCCCTCAGGCGCCGAACTCGGAGTAAGCTGAGTCCAACTTGGAAGCACACACTTTGCGCGCGAGACTTTTGTAACGCCATTGCGCAATGGCAGCCCTCGTTGGGTACATTTCAAGGACCGGCCCGTGCTTTGGATTGCAGCGTTTAGGGTTCGGTGGCCGGAGTCGTCAGGCTCCTCCCTACCACGATGCCATGAACCCCAACACCCAAAATCCTGAGCCTTTCAGCCCTCGACCCAAAAGGCTACATACCCCTAAAGCCCGAAGCCTTAGAAACTCCAGAAACCCTAATAAACTCAACAGCCCGCTGTTCGAGGAGTCGGGCGCCCCTGGGCCGCCTATCCTGGCAGCCCCTGAGGTTCGAGACCCACAGAGTTTCCTTACTGGCTCTTGGGAAGGTGCCTTCTCCCTCGATATAAAGCAGTGCGCGTGCGGCCAAACGCTTCCTGCACGCGTGCACCCTGTTATCATCTTGCTTTGTTGAGTGAGCTTGCTCTTTGCATGTTGCCTACGGGACACGGTGTTTCCTGTAGAAGCAAGCCCCGTCCGGCCCTCATTGTTTCTTTCGTGCTGCTGTGCTGTGCAGTTGTACGCGGCGCTGCCTTTGTGATCTGTGTGTGCTGGTCCATTTAAAAGATGCGTGCCCCGACCTGTGGGTTATGGAAGAGTATTGTACAGTGTTTCATGACATCACTTTCAAACTTGAGAGAGTAAGGATTCGCGTCATGTGCCGATGAGAAACATCAGCCGTTTCACCTCCTATGGAACAGATTGACTCCGTGCCAGCCTCCAAACCCTAAACCCCAAGCTTCAAGCTGTTACTCTAAGGGTCGGAATGTATTCCCTTATGAATTGTATTCCCGGATTGTCCCTTTTTAAGTATACACCGCAAAACCCTATCGAAATTCTTAAGGCCCACTTTTTTCGTTCACCCCCCCCCTCCCCCCCCAAAAAAAAAAAATCAAAACCTGCAGGCGGCACATTGCGGTCACCGCTGAGCCCACGCCGAACCCAGACTCGGTGCCGCACCCAGGGCTCTGTTTGGGTTTAGGGTTTAGGGTTTAGGGTTTAGGTGGGGTTTAGGGTTTAGGGTTTAGGGTGCAGGCTTGCTGTGCTCGCTACTTGGAGGTAAAAGGGTACATGTAAGTGGGGTTAAAGGTACCCGAAAAAGATTATCACCAGTTGTAATTCTGGTTACCCGACTTATAACCCTACTTCTGTGGGGGTTTCTGAAAATAGGGAGTTCTATCCTTTTTGGGGTTTAAAAAGGGTACCCCTATTTTGGGAAGTATCCATATATGTATCCATGAAGCTCCAAGTAGGGCCGAGGGTTCGGGGTTCAAGGTTCAGGGTTTGGGTTGAGCCGGAACTCAGGGCGGTCAGGGGTTTGGGGCTTTCAGGGTTGTGGGGATGTCCACCTGCGATGCAAGGTGTTTGGGCCCCAGAATGTGCCTCCCGGCATTGGCAGATCATGTTCTACCCGAACGATCGCGACGTTCTGGGCGACGGAACGCAGACCATGCGGTTCAGCAACAAGTGAGCCAGGAGGTTCATGGTCTCAGCTGTACCCTTTCCCCAAGCCCCATTTCTCGGCCACGGGCCTTGTGTTACTACCGAAGAGCCCCCCCAAACAGGGACCGCTTCCCCTGAAGGCCACAGCCCAACGAGAGCGGAAACGGGAGCAGGTACGAGACGAACGACTCCCCGTTGGCAGCGGCCATCTTCAAGGTTTCGCAAGTTTTGGGGGGGCTTGGGGGGGGGGGGGAGGGTGGTAAGGGGGGGTGGGTGTAAAGTGTAAAGGGGGGGTGGGGCTTTGGGGCTTTCAAAACTTTCAACTTTGAGTAGCCGCTTCCAGACTTCGGGTGCAGGGCTCGCAGCCCAAAGATTCCCGAGGCCCTGTGGAGGTCCTAACACGAAGCCCTGCCCCCAAGCAGCCACGCAGTGCGTCAGGACCCTTGTTGAAAGGTGATATGTAAAACCGCAAGACCCATGGCAGGCCCTTCTGTATTGAACACCCGAGGGCAGATTAACACCAAGCATTCCCCTCTTGTGGTTGTAAGTCATAAAGTTCAGCAGCACATTGGTGGCAAAGCCCAAGCGCCGCAGGTGAAGGGTGTCAACGAGGTGATGCTGGCGGCGAAGCACGTGACCGCGACACGGCCTTCCAATTCAGTGTTTGGGGTGCCTTTCTTTCCGGGTCCTTTTTATAAGGGTGCCGTAGTATACAGCCCATTCTTCCTCTTCGTTCCGGAGTCACCATGTGGACTGTCTGATAGTCAAACTGCCGCGGAACCCCACCTCGCCTCAAACCACGCTTCAAACCCTAAGCCCTGAATCCTCATGCGCTAACCGACGAAAAGCTGTCAACTCAGATCAACCCTCAACCCTCAACCCTAAACCCTAAACCCTGAACCCTAAACCCTGAACCCTAAACCCTAAACCCCAAACCCTTCAGCCAAAGAGGAGTCTGAGCTTCCCAGGTGACAAAGGCGCCATCCTCCGACTGGCGCCGCCTGCCTGTTTTTCCTGAACTCCTGTCAATCCCTAGAAAAGATCGACCCTCCCATCTTCCCTCTACGTAAATCCCTAGGAAGCCTTTGCTTTGGGAAATCCCCAGATGAGCCTTTCCTGAAGGACCCCCCAGACTCCCATGAAACGCAGAGATGAGTTTCCCTAAAACCCTAAACCCTAAACCCCAAACCCTAAACCCTGAACCCTAAACCCCAAACCCGAAACCCCAAACCCGAAACCCCAAACCCTAACCCTCGAGCGCAGGAGCCTCATGCAGCCGAACCTGGAGTTGGTCATCAGCCAGTTTTATGCAGCCGGCCTGGAGGCGCTTCGAGAGCTCAGGGCTCAGGGCTTTCTTGGGGCTTGAAGGTTTAGGGTTTAGGGGTTTAGGGTCTAGGGTTTATAGGGTTTAGGGTTTAGGTTTTAGGGTGTATAGGGTTTAGGGTTTGTAGTAGGGTTTTAGGGGTTTAGGGTTTAGGGGAAAGTTGCCTGCCCATTCCAGCGGCTTTGACATAAGGCTGTTAAATCTAAGTCTACAGCCCTCAGTCCCAGAGCCGTTGTAGAAGCCTCGCGTTCCACCTTGGGCAGATGGTGCCCCCACACTGCTCGATCGCTCTCTCAGTGTCGTTCTCTCCCTCTCTCACCCTCCTTTCCATGTCTCGCCCTCCTGGAATCGTCTTTTGCGCCAAATTTTTGAGGCCTCCGGGCAAGGTGGCGGTTCAGTTGTGGATAAGATTCGAGGCTACTGGAGGCTTCCCTTGACTGATGCTTCGCAGCAGCTGGCCACAAGCAAAAAGCAGCGGTTTGCAGTTTAGGTTTAGGTTGACCCGTTAGGGTGACAAAGTGCTCGAATCTAGGGACGGCTTGCAAACCTTAAACCCCAAACCCCAAAAAGCCCAAAACCCTAAAACCCCACAACCCTGCACCTCATCGTTAGTTAGCTCTGAGCCCTTCTTGCCTCCATGAACTCGGGCGCTCTGAATCGGCTCTTCAGCTTAGAGAAGCCATCCTCACAGAGGGTCCCGAAGCCTCCGCACCAGAAGGAGGGCACCTGGTGAATTAGAGATATTCTCGTTACATGAGCCTTTGGGGCACATGTTCGGAGGCCCAGAACCCTCCCAACTTCCCCCCACATACCCGCAAAACCCCAAGACACCCAAAAGCCCCAACACTCCAAAACCTTCCACTCTAAGACTCGAAGAGTCGTCCAGGAACCCCAACACCCAACCTCTCACTCAGCCCTTAAGTTTTTCCTCGCCGAATCTGTGCGCTGAGCGGCCCCCCCCTGCCTGCCCACGAACATCGGGGGCTGCGGCTCCACAGACATGTGCGCGATTCAGAGGGGGAGAGTTTAGGGGTTTCGGGTTCAGGGTTCAGGGATTAGGGTTGGAAACCCGGAGAGCTTTGTCACTAGCGGCTGAACCTTCGCAAATCCGCGCCGTCTTCGAGCCTAAGCCTAAGCCGTTAGCATGAGATCCGAGGGCCCCACAGGGGGTTTAGGGTTTAGGTATTCCATGAAGGGGCCGCACCCCACCCAAAATCAACCCACCCGCACAAGCACTGCGCCCAGCTGGTACTTATCGCAGGCTGTCGAGGCTTCAGGGTTTGGATCAACTCAGGAGGAGAACCCCCAAAGGCGGGTTGACTTTGAAGGGGGACTGGACTCTGTTTATTTGAGGGTGTGTAAAGGACCCCTCAACCCCCTAAGCCGCACAAAGGGAGACCCCGAAACCGCAAGCTGCTTTGTGGGTTTCCATGGGGGACAGCAGAGGCTTTCTAGGAGAATAACCCAAACCCTGAAAACCTTAAGTCCCATCCCAAGCCCTCAGCCCTCAACCCTCAACCCTCAACCCTCAACCCTCAATCCTCAACCCTCAACCCTCAACCCTCAACCCTCAACCCTAGACCCTAAACCCTAAACCCTGAACCCTAAATCCTAAACCCTGAACCCTAAACCCTGAACCTCCTGAAGACCCGCGGCCGGGAATGCGAGGCCACGACACGCCATCAATCCCTACGAGTCCGCGGCACCCTCCGGGTTGCCGGAGTGTCGCCCAGAGGATGGGTTTAGGGTTGAAGAGCTTAGGGTTTAGGGCTAGGGTTTAGGGTTGAGGGTTCAGGGCCCTAAACCCTAAACTCATGAACCCCAGGGTTGGGGTGTTGGGCTTTGGGGATTTTTTTTTTATTTTTGCTGCAAGTTTTTCAGTCATGAAAAATATTCTTGAAAAATGCGAAAGATTAAGCAATACTTTAAGCAATACCTTTTCAACACCAAATGTGAAAATTAGTGAAGAATACACTTTTCAAACATATTTTGTATCTCATGTGTTTTCTCAAGCTAATATTAAGAAAGCAAAACAAGGCCCAAATAGTCCCTAAACCCCAAGCCCCCCAGCCCTAGTCCCTAAACCCGAAGCCCTCCTCAGGAAGCCTCGGAAAGAGCGAGCGCCCTCCTCCCGCAGGCGCGAAAGTTCGGGTACCGCCCGCGCTCCATTTGGGTTTGCGCCCCCCAGCCCTCCACCCCTACACCCAAACCCTACAACCTAAACCCCAAGCCGAACTTACAACCCTTGGACAAAAAAAAACCCTAAATCGAAACTCCTGAACCCTAAGCCCCCAAGCGCTCGTTCCCCAGCAAGCAGGCGAGGTTGCACGCATTGTTGTGATCGCAGATGCAAGAGAGACCAATGCGCCAAGGCGTTGGCAATCCTCCGATCTCGAAGGATGCACTTGCTGGGAGGTCGTCCCCGGCCCGCGTGCGCTCACGAACGTGCTTGCTGCCCGCTACCTTCCAAGCTCTCCGTTCACTCGCCCGTCTTCCCTGACAATTCAGGTTGCCGAGAATGGCAGAAGCATCCAAGGGCCAGCGCTCCCAAAACTGGTCCAGGAAGAGCCCATGACATCCCATGACAGAAATTCAGGAAAGCAGCCGTCCCTGCCCCAATCCCCCGATTGGTCGAGCCAGCGATTAGCGGGCAAACCGCCCACTTTGGAGCCATTGAGCAAACAAAATGCAATGATACCTCTCATTCGCAAAGCCGCAAAAACACTGCGAAGGCCATTGTTCTAAGACGCGGTGCTCGAATAGGCCACGCTGTGCACTACGAAACGTTGTTGTGCTACAAGCATCCGTCGCATCCATGCCGCTATAGCTTGGGTGGGTGGCCACAAGTGATTTTCAAATCCGTACAAGGATATCTTCATCAGTAGCACAAGCCGCGAAAAGTATGAAAACGCCACGCTTCTCCGTACATCTGTATACTTTCAAGGCTCCCCTAAAACCCTAAAGTCCCCTCCCCTGAACCCGAAACGCTGAACTTTTGGCGCCTTACAAGCCAGCCGTGCACACACCCCCCAAACCCGAAGTGATCGCGGCAGCTCGCCGACGCGGCGCAGCGGGGCGCCATCGCCACCAGCCGAGGCTCTAGCGCCGGTTTCGAGGTGGGCCACTGGTGGGGCTTCCACCGGGCGGGGTAGGGTTGTTCCTCCTAAATCCCCTATACCCCGACGAATCCCAAAAAACTCGTGCGTTGAGGTTGACGCTTTGGGGTTTAGGGGTTGTTTTTGTTCTAACGGTTTCCCTAGAAGTTTTTTGGGGTCCGCAACAGGGGCTGATCCCCAGTCTCCAGTGTCGGAAGTCAGTGGCCAGGTTTACACCGGCTTGGGCGGCATTGCGCGGCGCCCTCATTTCGCAAACACTCTGTGACCAGGGTCCATCGTGATAAGGAACCCCAATGCCCCAAAAGGAACCAGAATTTAGCAAGCCCCTCAAGGCACCCCTGGGAAGATCAGTCGTGCTCATGGGGAGCAGACATCCCTAAACCCCAGGCCCTAAACCGCAAACGCACACCCCGAAATGGGGGCTTACGATATTAGGGGTACCTTATTGGGGTCCTTATTATACGGGGATCCTACTGTTTGGGATCGATTTTTGGGGTTCCCTATCTTCGTACACCCCAAATGTTAGAGGCTCATCCCTTTTCTCTTGTCCAGGCTCGCCTTCTACCGCGCTTCGCGGCACTGCCAAGAGACCCCCCGGCCGCGCGCCAATCCATCCTTAAACCTCGGCCTTAGACCTTAAACCCTAAACCCTCTGTGTATTTAAACCTCAAGACGGATGCCGGTATCCGAGCCCAAACCGGACCCCCGGCCCCTTTTAAGGCCGGATGGCAAATTGCCTAAGGCCTAAGTATTCTGGGATCGGCCACTTTTTTGCCGAATCGGGGGTACCCCTCACAGACCCTAAATCAAGCCTCCCCTGATGTGGGAAGCTTTTTGGAACCACGCATGTAGACAGTGCCGAGTCAAATAAGAAAAATGGACATCAAGTTCAGATGACAACGGATTCTGGGAGGATGATACCAAACACACAGTGATGTAAAGGGGTCTTGCTTGGCGCTGGCCATGCCACTCGAAAACCCTAAACCTTAAAACGCTAAATCCTTATTCCCGGAGCCCCAAACCAAACGTCTGAAACCCAAAACTCTAAACCCTAAGCCCTAAACCCGAAACCCTAAACCCCGTGAAGCTCTTTTCCATTTTTTTTTGAGGGCTCGCGGTGCCCCAGCCTCTGCGAGCGTGGAGCTGGCGCGGAAGGCGTCTGCGCCTTTGAGGGCATCCTGGGCTGGACTCGGTTTAGGGTTTCGGCGGTTTTTAGGGCTTAGGCTTGAGGAAGATCCTCCAAGACCGTGAATCCCACAATGTCCAATCAAAGGCCGGCCCTCAAGGGCTAAAGGCTGTGAAAGTGAAAGGCGGCAGGCCGTCAAAAGGCCCTGAAGGCCCTGAACAAAAACCTCGCCAAAAACCCTTCAAAGCCGATGGCTGCGAAAGCACGGCAGCCGTCCCCCCAAGGCTCGCAGTCTCCGGCGCGTGCCTAAAGGCCAAGCCAAGGTGGGAACCGGGAGCTGTTGGGCCGCGGTTTGCGGTTCGCGGGTTGAGGGCCACGAAGGGTTTAAGGGCTTGGGGCTCATGGCGCGTAATCATGTAGGGTTGAGCTGTTTTTGGCTGAGCTCCGAGCACTGCAGACACCCTGAATCGCGAAGACTTCGTAGTGAGAACCCGAGTACAACTCAGAAGCCCAAGTCTGTACTACATCGCTACACTTTCGCCGGCTAGGAATTTCGTATTTGTGCGCATACGTGCCCATACGTCGCAAAGGTTGTTGGATTTTCGCCAAACGTGTACACTTTTTGGGCCTATACCGCTCAGCAAGTAAGAAGTACGAACCCCCAAGCCTTGAAAAGCCCGGAGCAAGAGACAAAGCCAAAACTTTCCCCAAACCTTGAAGCCCCAATGACCTAATCCGAAACCCCAAGCCCTACAGCAAGTATAAACCAAGCACTGCGATTCAAGAATAACCCTCCCCCCTAAACCCCAAACCCTGAACCCTACACCCTAAACCCTAAACCCTAAACCCTAAACCCTAAACCCTAAACCCTAAACCCTAAACCCGAAGCCCAAACCCTAAACTTGACTCGGGTCGAAGCCCCCTGCCCAGGTCGCAGGAAGTTTCCTTCTTCTGCGGCACGCCCGGGTTCCTGGCCATCGCCTGCGCGTCGCCTGGGCCTTGGTTAGTTAGGGGTTCAGGATTTATTTGGGTTTAGGGTTTAGGGTTGAGGTAGTTTGGGGCCCAAAGACCTACGTGCTCCAACCCAGTTCAGAGCCGTCAGGGCCTGGGCACACAAGAAGCCGACATGGTGCTCAGGGCCCACATTTTTTTTTGACCCAAAGCTGGCCTTGATGACCCAAAGAAGGCCTTGATGAGGGTCACATGACTTCTTATGGGGTTTTTTCTTAGGGGGCAGCTACCCAAATGGTTTGCCGCTTCATTTAGGGGTTCAAGAAAGCCTCAAACTCTACAGCCCCCCCAAGCATGGTACAAGAAGCCGGGGCTATTGTAGCCCCAAAACCTCGACAATATTTGGTTTTTGGACTTCGAATGCCAGGTTTGCGTCCTTAGCTTCGAACTCGAAATGACGTCGAGGTTTCGGGCGTTTAGGGTTTTTATCCTGAAACCCTGAAACCCCAGACCCTGAAAACCTGAAACCCTTGCCTGAAAACCCTAAACCTTAAGACTCCCAACCCTAAACTCTAAACCCCCCGCAAATCCTGGGAACCCCAAAGCTCCTGACCCTGAAACACTCACCGCCGCAAAGAAGCCCTCAACCCCGCAGCCCTAAACCCTATATAAACCTCCAACCTAGACCCCAAACCCGGAAACCCTCAACCCCTAAAGCCCCAAGGCCCTACGATCCCACCGAAAACCCCCCAAAAAATGGACAACCCACACAAAAGCCAAAAAAGACCCAAATTCCCCCTATCCCACCAGGGGCTTGTGAACGGATCATGTTGCTTCTGGCTGGTTTCGAACTACATGTCAGAAAAGGGTGGGTGGGTAGATATTCAAACCGAAGTCGCGAGCTTAACATTAAATGCTTGAACTTGAGATGCTGAACCCTAAACCCTCAACCCTGAACCCTGAACCCTAAACCCTAAACCCTAAACCCTAAACCCTACACCCTAAACCCTAAACCCTAAACCCTAAACCCTAAACCCTAAACCCTAAACCCCCAAACCGAGGTGCCAGGCTCTTGGCGACTCCACGGGCTGCCAGGGGCGCCTCGGGAGTCCACTCGTCCCCCTGTAAGGAGGGCTTCTTTTGTTAGGGTTTAGGGTTTAGGGTTTAGGGTTTAGGGGTTTTAGGGTTTTAGGGTTTTAGGGTTTTAGAGTTTTTGGGTTTTGGGGTTTTCGGGTTTTTGGGTTTAGGGAGTGGTTGTCAGAATTAGGGTCCCTGTTCGGGGTGCCCTAAAATTCAGGTGCTGTATTATATTGGGGATACGAGAAGGGACGGTAATTTTGACAACCACCCATACAAAGAAATAGACATATTCCCATTCGTCTTCTCTGATCATTGTCTTCTGGAAGAATAGTAGTTGTTCGGGTTGTGTGGCTGTTTTTGTCATTGTGGCCTTTGTCTCTGGTTCTTGCCGTTCTTGTTGCAGCATTTGTTATAAGAAAACCGTAGCAATAAACATGCTTGCTCACTACAATCGGTCTTAGCCTTTGGCCTGGATGTGGTTTTCATCCTCAAGAGAGGGGTTCCCTGCCTGCATGCAAGTGCAGGCGCGACACAAGATAAGAGTTATGCAGCGAGTAGCATAGCTTCGGCTGTAAGTCCCGGGCCTAAACCCTAAACCTAAGCCCTAAGCCCTAAGCCCTAAGCCCTAAGCCCTAAGCCCTAAACCCTAAACCCTAAACCCTAAACCCTAAACCCTAAACCCTAAACCCTAAACCCTAAACCCTAAACCCTAAACCCTAAACCCTAAACCCTAAACCCTAAACCCTAAACCCTAAACCCTAAACCTAACCCTAAACCCTAAACCCTAAACCCTAAACCCTAAACCCTAAACCCTAAACCCTAAACCCTAAACCCTAAACCCTAAACCCTAAACCCTAAACCCTAAACCCTAAACCCTAAACCCTAAACCCTAAACCCTAAACCCTGAACCCTAAACCCTAAACCCTAGACCCCAAACCCCAAACCCAAACCCGATGTCGTTTCGAGGCACCTCCGGAACCTCCTCGACTGGAGCGCCGCAGTGGGGTGCCCAATTGAGGTTCAGGGGCTAGGGTTTCGGGTTCAGAAAAGGTGTTTAGGGTTTAGGGTTTCAGGTTCAGAAGAGGTGCGTTGCGGGGAGAGTGGGGGGGGGGGGGGTGGTAGTGCGGTGAGCTTCAGTTTATTTTTAAACCCTAGACCCAAACCCCTCCCCCCCCTTTGGCTTAAGGGGTCTCAGTCTTCAGTCTCAACCCTACACCCAAAACCCCAACGCCTAAGACCCAAAAACTCCAAGCCCTAAACCTTGTAAAGCCTCAAGCTCGAAACCCTGTGAGCCCTGCTTGACACCCCAGCCTCAGGCCCTGGGGCATGCCGAGGACGAGCTCCTCTTCGGCAGGGCCGGGTATCTCTACGCCTTGCTATGGGTAAGGCCGGTTTAGGGTTTAGGGTTTAGGGTTTAGGGTTTAGGGGCTGATTCTGAAACAGAGGTCTTTCCGGGAGAAGAAAACCCTAGGTACTACTACACCCTACGAAACCCCACTAAACTTTACTAAATCCTAAACCCTCAATCCTCAACCCTAAACCCTAAACCCTAAACCCTAACTCCTACTAAACCCTAAGCCCACCCCCTTCCCCCTGACCTGACTCGGAGGCAGCTCCTGGGATCCGACGCTGCAGACTTTGCCACACCACTGAGGGCGGTGGCCGAGAGACTGGCGCACCTGGCTCTTTCTACGGGCCTTTTGGGGCTTTAGGCGGGGGTTTTTCAAACCTTGAACCCTGAAGCCTGCCCAAACTCTAAGGGTTTGGGGGTTTCGGGGGCTTCTTTTGCTCCCGAAGATCAAAAAGAATTAGCCCCCCTCTCCTCCCTCTCCCTCCCGGCCAGTCCCGAAACCAGAGTCGCCCCGATTTGCGAGAAGCCTGCGAGAAGCCTTCCGTGCCAGGTGGAGACGGGGCTTGGCACCTGGCTTTCGCCGTCGTTGGTTTTTTGGTCTTTGGAGGTTTTTGGGATTGTTTGAGAATGTTGGGGAAATTTGTACTAGCATCTTTTCCCACCATTATTATTATTATTATTATTATTACTATTATCATTTTTATAATTGTTCTTCATTATTGCGTTCATTTTTTTTGGCGGGGGTTTGGGGGGTAGGGCAGTGGAGGTGCAAACCCTAGCAAGGCAGCCCTGACATACGGCCAGAGCGCCCTCGCGGCTTGGGATGCCCCCCCCCGCAACCCCTTCTAGGGGTTGGGATTTGGGGGTTAGGGCTTGGGATGCTCCCCCTTATACTAACAGCCCCCAACAGGTCTCCTAGCACCCCCGATTTTTTTAGTCCCTTTGAAAGGCTGCTCGCATAAGGGGGAACTTCCAAAGACGAAGCCCCTGCATGGAGCCTGGGGCTGCCCAGGCGTTCCCGAGCCGAGAGGTACGACTGGCCCCTGATGTGGCCGGCCGGGCGCACTTTGGACGTGCCAGGAGTCAGGTCTCGGAAGAAGGGGTGACGGTTGAGGGTAAGACAAAGGGGTTCAAGGGTTTCTGTGGGCAAACACAACAGCATGGCTCATGGGTTACTTCTAAGTAGGCTTGCAGGTAGGGTGCTCATGTTTCTAGTTGGTGAATGTTGGTGATAGACTTTTTTCGGGGGTTGGGGGCCCAGTCTCATCCTGGGGCCCTGCAACCCTGCAGTCAGAAGCCACCCCAAACCCCATTTGGTTGTATCTCTTTCTGATGCTACGTAAGAGTCCTACAAGCGTACTTAGAACCTGCAGACAAGGAAGCTCGGGTTCCTGGGTAGGGGCGCCTCGAGGCGCAGGCTTTGCATCGCCGAAAGCTCTAACCCCAAATTCCAAACCCCTGAGCCCTGACGGCTAAACCTTGAGCCCTAAACCCTGAACCCTGAACCCTAAACCCTAAACCCTGAACCCTAAACCCTAAACCCTAAACCCTGAACCCTGACTCCTAAACCCTAAACCCTGAACCCTGAACCCTAAACCCTAAAACCTACGCAGCCCACCTTGAGCCAGGCACTGCTTCAAGGAGCCCTACTTGGGCGCAGCGCACGGCGTCGCAGCGCCGGCTCTGTTGTTCCAAGCCTTGGCTTTTCGGGTATTGGGGGGCTTGAGTTTGGAATGGTAGTTAGTTTGCTTAGTTTTTCTTTCTTTTGGGGGGGGGGGTTGAGGGTGGAAGGGGTCGTCGACAGAAGGAAAGAAAGGTTCCAGAAGTGTCCCCCTCAGCCAACAGCCAAGCCCTAGACCCAGACACAAACCAAGCTTACCATGAGGCGCCCTTGGACCCCCAAACTCTGCACACCCTGGGCCAGGTGGGTATCCTGGCCATGCTTCTGCACTGCTACGACCTGCTCAGCGTTCCCAGCTCAGCCCCTCCCCAGGGTCGAGGGTTTTGGGGTGGATTTGGTGTCGCTTCTGGTTAGGGTTTAGGGGTTCGGTTTCGGGATGCTAGGATCCAGAGCGTAAGCAGGTCTTCAGATCGCACTGTTGGGAATTTTTCCAGATATACATCGTCTTCGACCCCTAAACTTTGTTCTCAATCTACGTATTCAATCCGAAGAAGGCAGCTTGTGGGCCCTTAGTGGAGCTTTATTAGCCTAAGCCCTGAACTCTGCCAAGCTCTGCCCCCCTTAACGCTCTTAGTTGGGGGGTCTAAACCCTAAACCCTAAACCCTAAACCCTAAACCCTAAACCCTAAACCCTAAACCCTAAACCCTAAACCCTAAACCCTAAACCCTAAACCCTAAACCCTAAACCCTAAACCCTAAACCCTAAACCCTAAACCCTAACCCCTAAACCCCAAGCCCTAAACCCTAAACCCTAAACCCTAAACTTCCCTTCAAAGGAGGGCAGCCGGCAGCTCGTCCGCGCCACTTTGCAGAAGTCTGGGGCTTACCCACCTTTGGGAGGTTTATTAGGGTTGATCAGGCGGTTGATTAGGTGGTGATTAGGGTTTTATTTGCGTTTATGAGGGTTCATTAGGGTTTATTAGGGTTTGTTAGGGTATATGTGGGTTCTTGAACAAGTTTAGAAAGGGTTTAGAGTGGGTTAAGTAGGGGTAAGTAGGGCTTAGAGGGTTGAGAGGGTTTAGGGGTGTTGACAGCACTCATAGAGTTTATAGGGTTGATAGAGTTGATAGGGTTGACAGGGTTTACAGTTTTTAGATTTTGTTGGGTTTTCAGTTTAGGGATACTCAAACCTGACCCGACAAAAGGAAAATCCTTCAAGCGCCAAAGCCCCAGGCTCCACACAGGTAGGATTCGGGGCATTCACGGTACCTCTTAACCTCTTAACCCCAAAGCATACGCCACCATGACCCTGCTGGGAATCCGAGGCTCCTCTCCATTCGCTACACGAGCGGCAACGTGCCCATCGTACTCGGTGATCGGCGCAGCTTGGATCGGTTTGGAGGGGTTGGACATCCCTCGACTTGCATCGGATTTTCCCCTCTCGTCATTGCCGGTGTGGTTTGTTCAAGACAACTGTGCCCTCTGTAGAGGCGACGAGCATGTGCACTGGTGTCACGGCGCGCGCCGGCCCAAGCTTCTTGTTTTGCACCCTCTGCACTGAAGGCCCCCTTAAGGCCCCCAAAACCTTGTACACCAACCCTAAAACCTAAACCCCGAACCCTAACAGCCCTCCATAACGACCCCGCAGAGCCCGAGGTCTGGATTGCCTGCGCTCTGCTTGCTTGCAGCGACGGTGGGCCAGCTTAGGGCTGTCAGGATTTTCAGGGTTTTGGGTTTGAGGTCTTGGGGGTCTGTTTACGGCTTCGGGTGGATTAACGAAATCGAGTTTTGGGGGTTGAATGGCGCTGGCAATCAGAGACTTTCAAGATGCAGCCTCGCAAGTCCTTTTAGTTGTTCGCACTCACATGCTGGCGCCCTGCGAAATTCTGCGAATCGGGTTCTGACCTCGCTCCTCAGACCCCCAAAAACCCAAAACCCCAAATCCCAAAAGGTGCTGGGTGACGCGGACGGGTCGCTGCGGGCAGCCGCGCTGCAGGCCCGGGACCCTGGGGTCTTCATAGGCAAAGAGCTAGGTCCCTAAGCCCTGAACCCTGAATCCTGGAAGGGAATGTAGGAGCTCGAGTTTTGGTTAGTTCATCCAATGTCGTGTCGAAACTCGTGCAGTGAAACAAGGTGCGCGGCGAAACGAGTAGAATCTGTTAGGGTGCCTCGCTGGTCCGAGGCGGGGGAGGTGGTTTGGCAGCGCGGCCTTATCCTCAAGGCTCCCTGGGTTCATAGGGTGGATAGGGTTTACAGGGTTTACAGGATTTACGGGGTTTACAGTTTTGCAGGGTTTACAGGGTTTACAGGGGCTACAGGGTTTTGTTCAATGTTGAAAGGGTTTCGGGGTTTAGGGTTTAGGGTTTCGGATTTACAGGGTGTATATTTGGGGTTTAAGGTTTAGGGTTTAAGGATTAGGGCCTTCGCTGTTCTCCGCGCTGCCCTGGAGAGGTACTTTCTTTCTGGGGGGTGAGTCTACCCCAGAACGACCTTCCTGGGTTCACAATTTCAGGCTTTAGGGGCTCAAGGCATTCCCTTAACCCTGAGCCCGAAACCCCTGAAACCCTGAACCCCAGACCCTTAGCCCAGAACCCGAAACCCTGAATCCTAAACCCTAGCCCTAAACCCTAAACCCCGAACCCTGAGCCCTAAACCCTCAAGCCCTGAATCCTTGCCAGGGCCTTGGGCTTTGTCATGGGATCGCCGGCAACGCGTACGCCTTCTTGAGCATCTCGCCCGCAAAGGTGGTGCCTTCAACAGGAGGCTGATACGGGGGTTTAAGGGACCCAAATATGGGTGGCTGTCAATTTAGGGTCCCTGTTTTGGATCCCCATTATCATGCGGCACCTAATATTTAGGGTACCTCAAAAGGGACCATAATTTTGACAACCACCCTGTAACAGTAGTATTCCCTTAGAGTAAGGACCCCAAGAAGGTACCCCTAATTCAAACCCCCATATAGTTCAGGGTAGCTGAAAGGAACCATCAAGCTTGGAATCAACCCCCCAACCCCCCCCCCCCCCCCCCCCCAAAAAAAAAAAAAAAAGCAATCGTGAGGGTTCGAGCCCCACAACCTCAACCCCAAAAACCCGAAACTATCCTAGGCCCTGAGCCCCAGATCAGAAAGCACAAGCAGAGATCTGCCCCATCATTGGGAGATACTGTTGTGTCACAATATGTCACAATATTCTTCCATGAAACCCCCAACACCCTAAGCTCAGGCCTCTACCGCGCAGACCGAGACTCGCGCCACCTGGCCAGGGCGCAAGCGTTTGCGGCCATGATGCAGCAGCCGGAGTGGGGGTTCCCAGAGCCCCACCCATGTAGGATTGTTTGGGGGTTAGGGTTCAGGGTTCAGGGTTCAGGGTTTAGGGTTTCGGTTTAGGGTTGATGGTCGAGAAAGGTCAGCAGCTGTAGCACTCTCTGTTTGGGTCGCCCCCAAAGAGGCAAGTAACATCAAGTAACTGGGGACCTAGACAACAAGCCTCGCAGTAAAAGCCAGACCCCTACATCACACTTCAGGCCTTAACCTTCGAGCCTCTTGCGTCCGGCCCAGGATACAAGAAGCCATCCGGCGCCAGCCAGACAGCCAGCGGCTAGCTGCTTGCCTTTAGCGTCATGGAGGTTTGGGGGCACCTGAGCTTGCAGGGTGAGATTTGAATCAAGGTCAGGGCTCGATGAAGAGCCTAAATTACCGGGTTCTGAGATTTGTGGTTCAAGCTTTCGAGTGTTTAGGGTTTGGGGATGCTTCGTTTAGCGCTCCATGCTTTTGGTTCAGGATTGGGTCTCAGTCCCCCCTAGAGAAGCATGTGCTTGTGACAGGCCCACCCTAAAAAGCAGAAGCCAACCATGACCTGTAGTGCGGGTTTTCACAAGTTAGGGTCCCTCTCGCAGAAGCCTCTTCCCGACACTAAAACCCTCGTTTTCGAGGACCCTCCCCATAGATGCCCCACATAGTTTCTTCAAGGGTTCTTTCAAGGGGGAATTCGAGTCCCTAGTCCCCGAAGAGGACTGCTGTAAGAGCTACTTTAAGAACCACCAGACCCTTCAGGATTCTTAGGCAACCCTGCAACCAAAAAAAGGGGTTCTGGGCTCTTAAGCTAGAGAAGCTCTTGAAGGAGTCGAAGCGAACCCACAGCAAAGAAGCAGGTTCTGGGATTCCCGCAGGCCCGATTTGGGTTCAGGGTTCAGGGTTCAGGGTTCAGGGTTCAGGGTTCAGGTCTAGGGTTTAGGGTTTAGGGTTTAGGGTGTAGGGTGTAGGGTTCTGGGTTTAGGGTTTAGGGATCGGGATATGTGAGTACGAAGAGCAGAGAAGCCCAGGTCCGTGGGGTGCCCGACTCGCCCCTGAGTCTCATGGAGGGCGACGCCGGGGGGCTCGGGCTACGGCTTCGTGGAGCCCTGAACCCCGAAAGGGCCTGAAACCCTGAGCCCTGACACCCCTCATCCCTAAAACCCTAAAACCCTAAACCCTCAACCCTAAACCCTAAACCCTAAATGCGTTTCAGGGTTCAGGAGGGCCTCACGGTTTCGGGGGGTCTCGGGCGATATCCCAGGTTTTTGGAACGCTGGCAAAAGATGAAAGCCTTAGGCCTTTGAATCCCTGAACGCCCTGAGGTCTGAAACAAAATACACGCTGGGATGTCGGCTTTCGGCTGCAGGGTTTAGGATTTAGGGTTTAGGGTTTAGGGTTGTTTGTGAGGTCTCTTAGGAGTTGCAGGCTATGGAGCTGTGCGTCCTTCGTCGTAGGCCGGCCTCTTCTGCTTCCTGCTGGATATGGCCGCGCCGGAGAGGACTCAAGAGGGTGATAAAAGCTGTGTTGCTTTAGGGTTTAGGGTGTAGGGTTGTTGTAGATAATTTCTGCTTGTTCTTTATAAGTGTAGCTTTTCAGGAAGGGCCCGCTTTGTGAATAGTTGAGGGTCCCAAGCCCTAACGAGCTCCGGAGGCCGTATACCAAAGCCCACGCTCCAAGCTCTCAGTCCAAGATCCATCTGGGTGTGGGTTTTAGGATTTACGGTGCACACATCTACAGAATCTACAGGTTCGGGGGTGGGTGGACAAAGGCCCCAGGCCCAAGCCAAAAGACAAGCCTATGCCATCCTCAACCTGACCTACTTGCTCATGAATGATTGAACTGAAAAGCCCTCTCCCTGTCTCGATACTTTGTTTTCTCTTTCATGCTGCTTCACCGCGGATAACCGTTCTAATCAAACAAGGCCCCTATCTACAAAGACACCCTGTTCTGCCGAACCCCTTGTTTTTGTGTGTGTAAGGACCCGGTAGATTCCACACAAAGGGTACACGCACAAATAAGTGTATGAGTAGGAATATAAGTATGCAGGATAATTTTACCCGAAATAGGACATTCGAAATGCAAGTAGAAATATAGGTACAGATGTAGACATAGATTTTGATATGCATATACAGAAATACAAAACGAATGCATACATACATAATTGCAAGAATGGAAGTATAGGAAAATATCAATGTTCACAGAGACATAACAAATACATATATATATATATATACACATAGATATACACGCGCATTCAGAACGTTATGTGTGTCTTATGTTTATGTAGATGTGTATGTGTATGTGTGTATCTGTGTATATGTATAAAAAGCGTATCTGTGTATGTGTGTATAAGTGTATATGTGTACAAGTGTATCTGTATATGTCTGTATGTGTGTATGTGTATCTGTACATATGTGCACATATGTGTACATATGTGTACATATGTGTACATATGTGTGCATATGTGTACACATGTGTACATATGTGTGCATATGTGTACATATGTGGACATATGTGTACATATTTGTACATCTGTGTACATATGTGTACATATGTGTACATATGTGTATATGTGTGTATGTGTGTATGTGTATCTGTGTATATGTGTAAACGCGTATATGTGTATATGTGTATACGTATATGTATACATCTCATACATATACATACATAGACATGTATGCGAAAGGCACTGCAAAAACATGACCCCACACCCTAAACCCTGTCTCAGATGGTGGGGGGATTGGTGGAGGTCTTCCTTCCCTGGCTGGGAGCTGTGAGCCAGCGCCTTTAGTGCAGGGTTGCTCTTCTGCCGAAGCCCTCAACCCTAGGCAACCTCAACCCTAAACACCGAAACAACTAATCCCCACCCCCAACTCTTCGAGCCTTTAGCGGTTCCAGGGGCATGCTGCACAAAGTTTGCAGAGCCCCCGGCTCCGGGGATCCCTTGAGCCCTGAAAAACGCCCCCCAGCCAAAGACCAGAGATGACCCTCCCTTGGTTGGGGCTAGTAACTTAGGGGCTGGGGTGCGTGTGGCACAAGTCCAAAGTGACATCGATTGCCATCGAAGAGACGTGGCTTGGAGTAAAATCAATGCGGGCTGCGGCTCTCTGCGATTTGGCAATTGACCGGCAAAGGAAAGCCCCTGAACTCCCTTGGACCCTCCGGCAGGCGCTGCGCGATGGCGTGTCTCTGGGAGTGGCCGTGCGGCTGCAGGGCTTCTCTGGGTTGAGGGGGAAGGTCTTTTCTATGAACCCCCTTCAACACCAAGGTAAAGCCTTCCAATCGCCAAAGCCCACGCCTGAGACCCTCTAGACCCTACCCTAGCCCCTAGACCCTAGACCCTAGACCCTAGACCCTAAACCTGAAACCCTAAACCCTAAACCCTAAACCCTAAAGGAAGAGCCTTTAGCCGCCCGAGGGACTCAAGCCTCCCGACCAAAGCGAGGCACAAGCCAACATGGACCCTGACAGCATCGAGGCGTGGAGAGTCGGCTTTTGGGGTTGAGGGTTTAGGGTTGAGGGTTTAGGGTGCAGGGTTTAGGGTTTAGGGTTGAGGGTTTAGGGTTGAGGGTTTAGGGTTTAGGGCTTAGGGTTTAGGGTTGTTTCATGGACCCAAACATGCTTCGTGGATGGCTACGGGACCTTTACAGACATCTCTTCGAAAAGGCAGGGCGGAAAGCCTTGGATTTATTTGTTTGGGACTTCAGACCCAAAGGCCCCAACCACGCCAAGTGCTTTATATGATGCAGTTAGAACAGTAACACTGCGCTTATGTGTGGTCCTGTAAATCTAGGGTACCCGAAAAGAGGACGCTAATTGTATTGTGAGAACTGACCAGTTATCCCCTATCATAGGTAATGTGGCCTGGACATCCGAGCCACACTTTGCCCTCTCACAAAAACGTGCCCATGTCGACTATGCTTGCTACGGCTGCCCACAGGCCTCCGCAAAGCCCTCCAAAAACACTTGCCTATACCCCAAGACCGCCCAATGTGGGCCTCTCCCAAATAGGGGTACCCCTGATATACGCGCAACTGCAATACGTATTCCTATGATAGGACCCCCCCCCCCCCCCAAAAAAAAACAAAAAAAAAAACAAAGGTACCCCTTATTTTCGGGAAACCCCACATGTATGCCACCTCAAACCCACCCTCCCATTGGAGGGTCGCATCCTGGACCTGCTCGAAGAGCGTGTGCGGCCGTTTGTGCAGCAGGACAGTTGATCACATGATTTCATATCTTCCCCTAAATAAAACGGAGGGCAAAGTTTGGGGTGTGTTTAGGGCTTCAGGGCTCAGAGTTTATGCAGCTGTGCTCGGGTTATAGTTCGGACTCTCTCTCCGGCTTCTTCCTTTTTCATGGTTCAAGCTCAGGTTAGCAGAGATCGCATTCGCTTACTAAGCTTTAGGGATCTTCTAGAATCCGAGGTAAGGATCTTATCGAATCCTAGGTGCATGTCGTCACCAAACATGAGAACCAGGACGGGGGCGACGTGCAGTTCGACAGGTTCGACCACGACAGCGGCGTGCTGTACCTGCGGATGATTGGTGCCCGAGCTGCCACTCCTTCCAGCCCGCAGTCCATCAACCTGTTAAGGGTTTAGGGGGTTTAGGGTTGTAGGGTTTTCGGGTTTAAGGGTTTAAGGGTTTAGGGTTTAGGGTTTTAGGGTTTTAGGGTTTGGGGTTACGGGTTCAGGGTGTGGGGTTTCTAGCCCCTTTTGGCGCATTTAGGGCTTTTGGGTTCGTTTAGAACACCAAGCAGCAGGAGCCGCCAGTACCTGTACACTGATAATGCCCTCATTTTGATGTACCGACCCTAAACCCTAAACCCTAAACCCTAAACCCTAGACCCTAGACCCTAGACCCTAAACCCTAAACCCCAAACCTTAAACCCTAGACCCTAAACCCTAAACCCTAAACCCTAAACCCTCATCTAGAGGGCTGCAGGTTTGCAGAATGGTCGCAGCCATAAACCCCCGCCCCCTCAACACGAAACCCTACACCCTGAATCCCAGACCCTAAACCCTAAACCCTAAACCCGAAACCCTAAACCCGAAACGCTAAACCCTGACTTCCTTCCGATTTCTGAGGTGCCTGCTCCGGATGCCCGAAGTCCAGCGTCACGCTGAACATGGGCATCCGGAACCTCATGGAGCACTACATCCCGGAGGTCTCGGGATTTTAGGGTTTTAGGGCTTTAGGGCTGTCGAACTTTAGGGTTTTGTGCTTTTAGGGTTTTGGGGTTGCAGGGTTTAGGGCTTTAGGGTGAGCGTTGAACCCCAACAACCGACACCCAGTGAACCCTGAGCAGCCCCATGTGCGCTCGGAGGTGAAGGACGTCCTCCCCGCAGACGAGGAGTAGGCCGGGATGGGATCAGGGGCGTAGGGAAGCCTCATATCCCAAACCCCTAAGGTTTAGGGACCCGAAACCCGAAATCCTAAACCCTAAACCCTAAATCTCAAACCCTTACGTTTAGGGTTTGGAGTTTAGGGTGATGTGGGGCCGTGGAGAGACGCCCTTCGCTCGTCAAGCCTTGTGGCCTTTGAAGCCCTGAAGCCGGATCTCTAAACTCCAAACTCTATCAAATCCAGACCGTAAGCCCGAAACGTTGTAAACCCTATATAGGCCATTCACCCAGTCACCCCCTTCTCAGCCCTATAACAGCCCGACCTCCCTGAAAAGTCACGCCTATGAGGGGGAGCCTAAATTTAGAATTCCCTCCCGCTCAACAAAGCAAGCAACAACCTGTAATCCCCAACCCTGAAAAAACCTTGAAACCTCCAAGCCCTGAACTTTTAAACGCTGAACCCTAAACCATTGTGAATCGCTTCAAGGGCTTAGCCGAAGTTGCATCCGAAGGTCAGAAAGCTGCACGCGAGCTGAGTGCACGGCGAGGGGTTTAGGGTTCAGGGCTCTTGGGCTCAAAAAGTGTAGGGTTTAGGGTTTAGGGTTTAGATGGGTTGAGGGTTTGGGGATTGGGGTTTAGGGTTTAGGGTTTACGGTCTACTGGGTCTTTAGGAGTTCATGGTTTAGCATGCGTTTAGGGATCGGGAGCAGGATCTGGGGTTTCGGTTGCCCTAAGCACCAGACCCTTCAGAACCAGACGTCATCGAAGTCATCAGAAGAAAGGAACTCTGGTGGCATGGTTGCTGGGTTACCGGCTACCTAGCGTATCAGCTGCAAGGCTTAGGGTCAGGGTTGGCAGGCGTGTTTAGAGGTTTAGGATTTAGGGTTTCAGTGGCGCGGCTATGCAAGCTGCAGACCCATGCTACGTGCCAAGAGCCGTGAGAAAAAAGCGCCTGACTGCTTGCCAATTTTTCTACATGGTGATGTTGGAATGCGAGGGATTTCGAGCTGGGGCTGACAGGCATTCTTCCTCCATTTGCAGTGTTCTCGGTGTCGCCGGCTGCTGATGAGGCTACCTCACCTTTCGCGCCCTACCGTGGCCGCCTTCCCAACCTCACGGTGCACCTCCCGAGACCCGCGGCCACCCGACGTCCAGTCCCAGCCAGGTCAGTCACGCCTGTGGCCTGCGGGTTGGATGAGCTGGGAAAGGAACTTGCTCTCGTCGCGCAAATGACCTGCAAAGTTGTCCTCACCAACATGCACCACATGTCTACGGCTGGCCTTTTGTGGCAAGGCTCTGATGCGTGCCACCACTGCTGCAGTCTGTCAGAGTGAGTCGGCGGACCTGGAGATAGTCTTTGCTCATGCGAAAGAACTGTCTCCAAACAAACGGCCTGATCTGTTAAGAAGCGCCGTAGAGCTGCTTCGTGCGTGGTCGCGCATGGTCTCGCAGGCAGCGTGATTGGCCAGCTGGAACAGATTCACCGTTCGGACCGAATCACGCAAAACCACAAATGAGATGAACAAAGCATGGTTGCAGCACTTGTTGTACAAGTTCGGCGCATTGCATGCACTTGTGTGGATTGGGCAACCACAAAACTATGCATGACGGAGACGGAGACATATCAAACTGCGGCAGTGCCTTTGCAGGCACGAGCAAAACAGGCACATCTCGCATCTTAAAATGTCTTAGCGTCTCACATCTCACAAGCCGCTGAAGCATGGCAAACGTGCGCAACGAAATTGATGTTGCGTGAGCGCGTGCAGAATTGATGAAAGGATCTGTGCTGCATCGGTGCAGCGACAACATGGTTCTCCTCCAACGCTGGGGTGTCTTTGGGTGCGCTGTGCAAGCCAGAAGTGCATGTTGAAGTGAGGCTGTTCGGAAGTGTGTTGCGTCACGTGATGCGGGATATGCGGGCCACTTTCTCCTTAGAATTTAGCAACCCCACTTGTCAGGTGGGAACTTGAAAGCTGATAACACCAAACATGCAGAGCAGCCGCAAATGTGCAAACACCCTGGCGCGAATACCGCCTACAGACCGTAAGTGCAGCTGACGCACGCATGCGGCATCAACGCCGCCTGCCGAGTGCAAATCATCGCTCATCCGCCTGACCCACTGCACAGCTGCCCGCCTGAGCTGAAAATAGAGACAAGACTTCGATACAGTTTCCCTTCTGATGATTGCCTGCCTGAGCCTCTCTGCCTGAGCCTCTCAGCCTGAGCCTGCCTCGCCTGCTTGCTTATCATGGTGCTTGGCACCCCTTTCGGTTCGCCAGAGTTCATCGCCAATTCACCTCCAGGTCCTTTTGTTGTCTCCCCACACTCCTTTTTCCAGATCCAGGCAGTCTCGGCTCCATAGGTGGCGCCCGAGCCCGCGGCGCGGGCGGTTGCAGGCGCGGCCCATGCCGTGCAGCGTCCGCTCCTTGA